TCAGAATTTCTAGAAGTTTTAGTAGTGCAAGAATTTTTTGAAAATATGCATAAATGGAAAAAGTTTACTTATTCACTAATTATCCACTTACTGAGCTTTAAGCTCATATATTTTTCACATTTTTCTTTATGAGACAGAAAGCAGACGAATTGAGCAGCTTTGAAGCCTGTCGAACCACCAAATTGAGCCACGTGCTATAGGTTGTATGACATCCTTTATCAGATTATACATTATGTGTTCTTTTGGGATACATGTAGTTTAAATTAGAAAAGTTCATTGTGGGCTCATTAGATATTTGATATTTTTAGTATATTTGAGGATTGTTGGTTGTAAAGCAAGTAAATATTGATTTTTCAGCATTTTATTTGAATAGTTTGTATTTTGAGGTACTGACATACCCTGATTTATATTATCAGTATTGATTTGAGGAAAATTAGTTATTGTTCAGGTGGTTTCAGTTCGTATTTAAGGGCAAACTCTGTCAAAATTTTGTTAAAAATATTTTTCAGTAAAACAAGTCAAATTTGCCTTGGTGGTGGATCTGACATTTAGCTGGTATCTACCATCGACACATGACATGTGTCGAGTCCACTAAAGTGATTCAGGACAGGTCGTGTCATCTTTAATTGACAAACTCAAAAGAATCATCTCTATAGTGGACAAATCTGGTAAGACAGTTGCTCTGATGATATTTATGGTATCTTTGGTATGTTTCTTGACAACCAAACTGTTAGAATGAGATAAACTTGTATGTATATTCATCTATATTATTACAATATTGGTGCATTTATATAGATAAAATTAGGCTATATAGGGACTGCAAATATTGAGGCTACAATTGTGGATCCGACGTTGAGCTATAATTGAGGGATTGCATTGCATGATTCTTGCCTGTGATCCTCCCTTCAAGGACAACTCACGCCAACACTCCTCCTCAAGTTGGTACGTATAAGTCAATGAGTCCCAACTTGTCTAGTGAGTTGTAAAATATTTTACTGCATACTGCCTTCATAAGAATATCTGCTAGTTGGTCTTCAGACTTCACAAAAGGAAACTGGATGATCTTTGTATCGAGGTTTTGTTTGATGAAATGTCGATCTACTTCCACATGCTTCATACAATCATGCTGTACGGGGTTATGGGAGATATTAATTGCTGCCTTATTATCACAAAACAAATTCATCTCGGAGTTAGGAGCAAAGCCAATCTCCATGAACAATTTTCTAAGCCACAGTAATTCACATAGCCCTTTAGCCATTCCACGAAATTCAGCTTCAGCACTAGATAGTGCAACTACCTTCTGTTTCTTGCTTCTCCAAGTAACCAAGTTTTCTCCAACAAAGGTGAAGTAGCCTGAAGTGGATTTCCTATCCATGATGTTCCCTGCCCAATCTGCATCTGTATACCCTTCTACCCTTAGGTGGTCATTTTTTTGAAAACATGAGCCCCTTTCCAGGGGAGGACTTCAGATATCTTAAAATCTGTATGATAGCACTCATATGATCTTCACTTGGACAATGCATAAATTGGCTTACAACACTTACTGCATATGCAATGTCAGGCCACATGTGAGACAAATAAATAAGCTTTCCTACCAATCGTTGGTACCTCCCTTTATCTGTCGGTACTTGGTTGGGATATTCCCCAAGTTTGCGATTTGAAATTATTGGAGTATCTGCAGGCTTACAATCTACCAATCCAACCTTTGTTAAAAGGTCTAGAATATATTTTCTCTGTGATAGGAAAATACCTTGCTTTGATCTAGCAACTTCAATTCCCAGAAAGTATTTGAGTCCTCCTAGGCTCTTCATTTCAAACTCAGATGCCAACTACTCTTGAAGTTTTGCTATTTCTTCTGAATCATCTCCTGTTATAATCATATCATCTACAGGCAGTCACTTTGCCCTGCCTGTGTTTCAAGAATAGGGTGTGATCAGAGTTACTTTACTAGAACCCATACTTTCTCATTGTTGTACTGAATCTCCTAAACCAAGCTCGAGTGATTGTTTCAGACTGTATAGAGTTCTTTGCAATTTGCAAACAACATTACCTTCAGTGTTGGCCATATATCCTGGGGGAATATCCATATAAATTTCTTCTTCTAAATCACCATGCAGAAAATCATTCTTCACATCGAACTAGTGTAAAGGCCAATCAAGGTTTGCTGCAAGCAACAACAATACTCTAACCGTGTTTAGTTTTACTACGGGTGAGAAGGTCTCCTGATAGGCAACTCCGTATGTCTGTGTAAATCCCTTTGCTACAAGTCTCGCCTTGTACTGCTCAAATGTTCCATCTGCCTTGTATTTAATTGAAAACACCCACTTGCACCCTACTGTCTTCTGCTTTTTAGGTAGAGTGACAAGGATCCACGTCTTATTTTTCAATAGTGCCACCATCTCCTCCTTCATAGACTGGACCCATTTAGGATCTTTCATCACTTCTTCAACACTTGTGGGAATTTGACATGAGGATAGTTCATCTGCGAAAGCCCCGAGCCCCTTCATAAATACATAATTGGCAATTGGATATTTCGATCTCTGGCTTTCAATGTCAGGAGAGTATCTCTCTGGAGGCTTATCTTGGTTATGCCTGTATGTTAACTCAGAGCCCACAAGAGCATCATTAGCTAATAGAGGTGTACTTGGAGAGTTTAGGGAGCTTACCTCAGGAGTATTCTTAGGAGATGGGTCTATGGATACTGTTGGGCAAGAAGGGAGTACTGCTTATACTTCGCAGGTCTGCCGTTTCTTACTAGTTTTATCATTGGTCTCCTCAAATCCTGATGGTAGAATACTAGTCTCTGTATCAGGTATAGAGACAGTAGGCTCATTAAATCCTTACCAGTCAAACCTCAACCAATTCAACTCTTCACTCCTAGGCTCCTCCTGAAGAGGAGAAGTGGATGTGACAGAAGAGAAAAAATTCTCTGATTCCAAGAAAGTGACGTCCATCATCACTTAAGTGCGATGAGTAGTCAGGTCATAGCAACGATATCCTTTTTGATGTGGGCCATATCCCAGAAACAGACATCGAACAACATAAGGATCAAGTTTGGTGCATTGATTCTTGTGTAAGTGAAAAAAATGATGCAACCAAACACTCGTGGCGAAAGCATTAAAGCCGTAGGTAGAGAAATTGCAGTGGATAGAGCCTGGAGAGGAGTCTGAAGCTCAAGGGACTTAGAAGGCATCCGGTTAATAAGGTGAACCGCCGTAGTGACAGCATCGGTCCAAAACTGAATAGGTACTCCAGCGCCAAGCAGAAGCGCGCGAGTAGTCTCCAAAATATGCCGATTTTTCCTTTCGGCAATGCCATTTTGCTGTGGTGTTTGAGGGCAGGAGGTTTCATGAAGCAAGCCATGGTGGGTAAAATAATTGCGGAATTCTTGATCTACATACTCGCCGCCATTATCAAAACGAAGTATGCGAATAGTAGTAGAGAACTGGGTTTTAATCATCTCATGAAATGAGAAAAAAATAGAAAAAAACTTCATCTTTATTTTTCATCAGATATAGCCATGTCATCCGAGTGCAATCATCTACAAAAATCACAAGCCATCGAACACCGGACATAGTAGATTTGGGAGATGGTCCCCACACATCAGAATGAATCAACTCAAAAGGTATCCGACTCTTATTCAAACTCAAGAGATAAGTAGCACGATGACTCTTGGCTAAGGTGCAGGTCTCGCATTTAAAATCCAAATCTGACAAACCTGAAAATAAAGTAGGAAAAACATGTTTTAGATAACCAAATGAAGGATGTCCTAACAGACGATGCCACAGCCAAATGTTCGCCTTGTTCCGATCAGTGGTAGTGCTTGCATAATTAGCTCGACAAATGCCAAAATCTTTCATATAGTATAGCCCCCTTTCTTAGTACCACGCCCAATTATCTCCTTGGTGAGAATAGCCTGAATAAGACAAAAATATAGGATAAATTAGAACAGCACAATTTAACTCCTTCGTGATTTGGTTCACTGACAATAATATATGTGACAATGATGGCACTAGAAGAGTAGTAATCAAGGAGAGGGCTGGCGATATTCTCATTGTACCAGCCCCTTTTACCAGAGATACGTCTTCATTAGCATTAGCAATACTAGTACGCCAAGGAGAGGATCATTCCGAAAAATTGCCGACATCATATGTCATGTGGTCTGTTGCTCCTGAATCAAGAATCCAACCGGTATACGATTCAGTGTAATTGGTCCCAAGAAAAGCCATAGTATCGAGCTTGGATATTACTGGAACCATTTTATTCATAGATTTATTGGTCATTTTCCAATAAATGTCCCAAAAGAATAGGCAGAGGCAATAATGCAGTAAGAAGAAAGACCACAGAAATAATTCAAGCGAAAAAAATGACTCAAGTTCTCATGACCCAAAACTAGCCCAATAAATCAGGTCCAAAACTAGCCCAAAAATAAAGTGATTGTTGACAGACACCTGGGAAAAGTCTCAAATAAGTGGGCTTGAAGATGTAAACCTTCTCTCTCCACTATCTTCTCCAGTTCGGTCTATTCAGCAAAAAAAGGCAAGAAATTTAGAGAAACAAGAAATAGTGGAGGCTCTAACCATCCATAAAGATCTATGAAAGTTCAGAGAACCAAAATATGAAAAAGGAGAAATTTTATTGCAAAGAATCAAGGACGAATTTTGGTGTTGCTGCCACCATTTTCTAAAGACTGGAACTCAACCTTTGCCTAGAATAACACTTTCCAGAATTATGCTAAAATAGAAGAAATCAGAGATCTGCTTTCATTTGAGCAAAACACAAAAAAGGAGGATGAATTAAATCTCAGAAACGAAAAAGCAGCAGGAAGAAATCCCTACTCTGATACCATGTTAGAATGAAATAAACTTGTATGTATGTTCATCTATATTATTACAATATTGGTGTATTTATATAGATAAAACTAGGCTATACAGGGAGTGCAAATATTGAGGCTACAATTGTCCATCCGACGTTGAGCTATAATTGAGGGATTACATTGCATGATTCTTGCCTGTGATCCTCCCTTCAAGGGCAACTCACGCCAACACAAACTACATGATGATAAAGGGAAAATAGTGTCTTTTGGTGGAGAAACAAGAATTGGTGATGTTCTTGCTGTCATTGTTGGGATTCTGGCAACTCCAACAATGACTGCTTTAACATCTATTCCAGAAGATTTGGTTTCGGCTGTCAGAACATGTCTTGCTTATTCAATGAAGAGACTGACGAAGATTCAAATTCTTGTGAGAGAACCTTTAATCTGCCATAAAGTTGCATTTGTCACCACTGTCTGCATGAATAAAACTGGAACCTTAACTATGGCTTCCATGGAGGTGCTACTTTTCATCTCCCAGTGCCCTTATATGTTCTTCATGGTCAATTAACAACTTCTGCAAAGTTGTTTGTGAATAGATAATACCGTCCTATAGGCATAACAGGATATTAGAAATGAAAATTGCTAAAGAAGATTAACTAATATGTAAAAACTACAAGGAAAGTGTTAATGGAAGGTTCAGCATACAAATTTCAAAGTCAATGTTTCAATAGTACATGCGTTCAACAGGTTTCTTATATGATTGATGTCAATGGCAATACAAGATTCATTTGTCTTGCATGTAGGTAACTAAGTTCTGGCAATGTCTAAACTCCATTGAAGTTCAGCATAATTTGATTGCTCCAAGTGTACTTGAATTACTGTACCAAGGAATTGGTTTAAACACTACTCAACCCCCTTCAAGGTCTTTGATATGATCCAAGAGTCGAGCCCGACGAAGGCAAGTGCGAGACGAGACCCATTGATAGTCGATGGCGGACCAATGACGCGAGCAAAGGCAAAGCAATTGAAACAAGCGATGGGATTGCTCGTTCAAGAAACCATTGATGAAACAGTGTTCGGGACTCAAAATGGAGCAACTTTCATGTTTGGGTCGAAGGCCGAATCAACTTGGATCAATTTGTTATCAAGCGACAAAACCGGAGGCTGAAAACAAGCCTGTGCGGCCGTACAAGCAAAACACCATGCGGCCGCACGGTGGCATACCGAAAATAAAAATTGCATTTCTTGTTTAACCATGCGACCGCATGGAAATACACCATGTGGCCGCACAAACCAAAAAATTGGCGAATTTTCTAATTTTGGCCGAATTTCCTAGTTTCAATAGAATTCTTATGAAATCAAATTATTACCATAATTTGATGGATTTTGGATGTTTTTACTCATTAGTATAAATAGGAGAATACTTTTCATTGTAAAGACTTTTGACTTTTGCTTATTATTATAGAGAGAGAATTGTTCTTTCCATTTCTTGTTCTTCTTGAACAATTTTGGAACTTATCAAGATTCAATTTCTTGTGGCGTTCTAAACAATCGAATTGTGGGTTCTTTTAATTGTAATCAAGGGGTTTTAGGTTCTTTGCTAATCTAGGGTTTCTTGGTTCAGTTCTTGGGGTTCAAGGTCCAAAATCGGGTTAGTATTGGCGTTCTTGGGTTCCGCATCAATCTCGTTGTGGGTTTCGTAGATTCCATTGCTACGGGGTTCGCATCAATTGGTATCAGACCTTTGGCTCCAATTTAACCAAGTTATATCCTTTGTTTTCTAATTTTTTTTCAATTCCTTGTGTTCTTGTGTCCAGAAAGTTTTCTTGATCCTTTGATTCAAAAGTTTCATAAAAAATTTTCAAATTCCATTTCTGGGCTCAATTTTCACCCAAATCAGTTTTTGTTTTCTTTGTTGGTTTTGTTATTGATTTTCGGATCTAAAAAAAATTACTGTTCATCCATACGGTACTGTTCATCCGTACAGTAAAAAAATTGTTAATATTATTGATCCGTCAAATACCAATTTTTATTATTTAATATCGTTTCTAAATTACTTGGACACATTGAATCATTCCATTCCTTCAATTCAAGTCAAGTTTTTAAAGTTTTCTTTGAGTCATTTGTTATAATTATTGAGTCACATCCGATTTGGGAAATTCTACACGAATTGATTGATTGATTGATTGAGTTTATTGATTGTTCCTAGAAGCAATTGTTGAAAGAATTGAGTGGTAAAAGGCAAAGAGGTGAGCTTAATAGAGGGTAAAAGTCCTTGTGTGTTTCCGAGTGACTTTTGGTGAGGCAGTAAAATAAAATTTTTAGTGTTAGGATGTCAGAAAGGGCAGAATCAAACTCAAGCTGACAAGGCAATAATAACAATGCAGTGGAGGATTTGGTGCAGAGGTTTGAGAGGGCATCTGGAGATGTGAGAGATAGGTTGGAGAAGCAGGAGGCTTGGATGAATAGATTAGATAGATCGGTGGCTAATCATAGTCGGGGGCATCGAGTGGATGTATCCAATGCCAGAAGACCGGATAGATGGAAGCCTAGGAGGGAAAGGCGAGAGGAGTATGGATATGGGAGTGACATGGGCGAAGATGAATTTCATGGTGTTGAGATGGGAAGGATGAGGAATAGAGGTGATAGGTTCAACAGACGGGGTCGGAATGATCGCAGGGAGGAGTTGGATCGAAACTTGGGAAATATAAAAATGACAGTTCCTTCATTCAAAGGAAGGAGTGATCCCGAGGCAGACCTGGAGTGGGAAAGGAAGGTTGAAATGATCTTCGAGTGTTATAACTACTCGGAGGAGAAAAAGGTGAAGTTAGCAGTTTTGGAGTTCAGTAACTATGCAATTTCATGGTGGGATCAAGTGATTACTTCACAACATAGGAGTGGGTGAAGACCAATCAGCACTTGGGAGGAATTGAAGTCATTGATGAGAAAGAGGTTTGTTCCTAGCCACTATTATCGAGAGATCCATCAAAAACTGCAAGGTCTATATCAAGGGTCGAAAAATGTAGAGAACTATCATAAGGAGATGAAAATTCTCATGATTAGGGCCAATGTGGTGGAGGATCAGGAGGCTACCATGGCACGATTCTTAAATGGGTTGAATAGGAAATTGCCAATGTAGTGGAGTTACAACATTATGTGGAGTTGGAAGACATGTTGCATGTGGCTATGAAGGTAGAAAGACAACTAAAGAGAAAAGGGGTAGCTAGGCAGCCGTTAGGAACTTCGAGTGTTAATCCATTTTGGAAGCTAGGATGGAACAATAATAAAAAATGTGATAAAGCTGTACCTAAAGGTAGGAATGAGTGGCAGAAAGGGAAAGAAGAAAGTGCTAGCAAAACAGCACCCAAAACAGATTCACAACCATCAAGGAATCGAGACATCAAGTGTTTCAGATGCTTGGGGTCAGGGCACATTGCTTCTCAATGCCCAGATAAACGGGTAATGTTGTTGGATAATGGAGAGGTGGTAAGTGAAAGTGAAGGAGAATTTGAGGACAAGCCTGCATTGGAGGACGTTGAAGAAGAAGAAAAATTGGAGTTTGCTGTTGGGGAATCGGTGATGTCAAGGAAAGCTCGTAACACTCAAGTCAAAGTGGATGATTCGGAGCAGCAGCGAGAAAATATATTCCACACACGTTGTTATGTCAATGATAATGTATGTAGTATGATTATTGATGGTGGGAGTTGCACGAATGTAGCTAGCACAACTTTAGTTGAAAAATTAGGACTAGCTTTGTTAAGACACCCTAAGCCTTATAAGTTGCAATAGTTGAATGAAAGTGGGGAAGTTAGGGTGAATAGAAGAGTTTTAATTAATTTCTCAATTGGAAGTTATAGTGACAAAGTAGTATGTGATGTGGTGCCTATGCATGTGGGTCATATCTTGTTAGGAAGGCCATGACAATATGATAGAAGGGTCACACATGATGGATATAGGAATCATTATAGCATTGTCAAGGATGGGAAGACTATTACTCTTGCGCCATTAACACCGGCACAAGTGTATGGAGATCAAATCAAGCTGAAAAGTGAGGAAGACGAGAGAATAAGAGAGTCAGGAAAAAGGAGAGGCAATAGTGAAACCATCAATAAGAGAGAAAATAGTGAGGTTGCTGAGAGTGGAGAAAAGAGAGAGAAGCCACATAAGCGAAGAGAAAAAGAGTCAGCTGAGCGGAGAGAAAAGCCAAAGGTCAACTTCTATGCAAAAGAGAGTGAGTTGAAAAAGGCTATGAGCGATAATAGGCAAATGATATTGTTAGTGTACAAGGAGTCCCTCCTCAATTTCGAGGATTCTAACACATCCCTCCCTAGTTTGGTTAAGTCTTTATTGCAGGAGTTCGACGACGTGTTTCCTGAGGAGATGCCAAGTGGATTGCCACCAATTAGAGGCATCGAGCACCGGATTGACTTTGTACCCGAAGCTATCATACCGAATCGACTAGATTACCGAAGCAATCCCGAGGAGACGAAGGAGCTTCAAAAGCAAGTGGAGGAGTTGATGAGCAAAGTTTATGTCAGGGAGAGCATGAGTACATGTGTTGTACCTGTTTTGCTGGTGCCTAAGAAGGACGGGACTTGGAAAATGTGCGTGGATTGTCGAGCTATCAATAATATTACGGTAAAGTATCGTCATCCAATACCAAGGCTAGATGATATGCTTGATGAGTTGCATGGTGCTTGCATTTTTAGTAAGATTAATCTTAAGAGTGGGTATCATCAAATTCGCGTGTGGGAGGGTGATGAATGGAAAACGGTGTTTAAGACTAAGTATGGATTGTATGAATGGTTAGTTATGCCATTTGGACTCACTAATGCACCGAGCACTTTTATGCATTTAATGAACCATGTTTTGCGTGCTTTTATTGGAAAATTTGTTGTAGTTTATTTTGATGACATCTTAATCTATAGTAAAAATCTAGATGAGCATTTAGAACATTTAAATTGTGTGCATGTTGTGTTGCAAAAGGAACAACTGTATGCTAATTTCAAAAAGTGCACATTCTGCATAGATAGAGTTGTTTTCCTAGGATTTGTGGTTAGTGCTAATGGGGTGGAAGTCGATGAAGAAAAGATAAAAGCTATAAAAGAATGGCCAACACCTAAAACTATAACTGAAGTTAGGAGTTTTCATGGATTGACTAGTTTTTATAGGCGATTTGTAAGAGATTTTAGCACTATCATCACACCGTTGAATGAAATAGTAAAGAGTGTAGGTTTCCATTGGGGAGAATCTCAAGAAATTACATTTAACACAATTAAGTATAAGCTATGTAAAACACCTGTTTTGGCATTACCAAATTTTGATAAAACATTCGAGCTTGAGTGTGATGCATCAGGAATAGGTATATGAGCAGTGTTAATGCAGGAAAGGAGACCTATTGCTTACTTTAGCGAAAAGTTGAGTGGGGCAGCATTGAATTATCCGACATATCACAAGGAGCTGTATTCACTTGTTCGAGCATTGGAGACTTGGCAGCACTACTTATGGCTAAAGGAATTCGTGATACACACCGATCATGAATCTTTAAAGCATTTGCGAGGTCAAGGTAAGTTGAACAAAAGACATGCGAGATGGATGGAGTTTATCGAAACATTTCTCTAACTCATCAAGTACAAACAAGGTGACGAAAATATAGTTGCTGATGCATTGTCTCGAAGGTACGTGTTTTTAAATTCATTAAGTACTAAATTACTTCGTTTCGAACGTATTAAGGGCATGTATGAATCTGATTGTGATTTTTCTAGTATTTATGCTTCATGTGACAAAGGTGCATTTGATAAATTCTAAAGGCATGAATGATATTTGTTTAGGGAAGATAAGTTGCGCATTCCTAATTGTTTTTTGCGTGAATTATTGGTAAGGAAAGCACATGGAGGTGGTTTAATGGGACACTTCGGGGTTCAAAAGACTTTAAACATGTTAGGGAAACATTTTTATTGGCTTAAAATGCGACATGACGTAGAACAAATATGTGAAAAGTGCATAACTTGTAAAAAGGCTAAGTCTAAGGTTCAATCCCATGGTTTGTATACTCCTTTGCATGTACCTAGTGAACCTTGGGTAGACAAAAAGAGGTCGGGATTCAATATTTGTAGTGGTCGATAGGTTTAGTAAGATGACGCACTTCATACCATGTCATAAAACTGATGATGCTACTAATATTGCAGACTTATTCTTTAGGGAAATAATACGTTTACATGGAGTACCTAAAAGTATAGTGTCTGATAGGGACATGAAGTTTTTGAGTCATTTTTGGCGTGTTCTGTGGAGTAAGTTAGGAACTAAGTTATTATTTTCTACAACTTGTCACCCACAAACAGATGGACAAACTGAGGTAGTTAATTGAACTATGACTCAACCACTTAGGACAGTGATCAATAAAAATCTGAAATCATGGAAAGAGTGTTTATTGTTTATAGAGTTTGCATATAATCGAGCTACACATTCTACTACTTCGTTTTCTCCTTTTGAAATTGTTTATGGTTTTAATCCACTAACATCTATGGATTTAATACCTTTGCCTGTGCATGAACGAGGTAGCTTGGATGGGAAACGAAAAGCCGAGATGGTGAAAGCACTCCATGAAAAGGTCAGGATGCAGATCGAAGAGAAAGTTTGCATCAAAAGCAAATAAAGGAAGAAGACACGTTACATTTGAGCCTGGAGATTGGGTCTGGGTGCATTTCAGAAAAGAGCGTTTTCCAGAATAGAGGAAGTCAAAATTGCAACCACGAGGCGATGGACCATTTCAAATCATCGAGAGGATCAATGACAATGCATACAAAGTGGATTTACCTGGTGAGTAATGTTTCAGCTACTTTTAATATATCTAATCTCTCTCTGTTTGATGTAGGTTCAGATTCGAGGACAAATCCTTTTGAAGAGGAAGGGGATGATATGATCCAGGAGTCGAGCCCGACGAAGGCAAGTGTGAGACGAGACCCGTTGATAGTCGATGGCGAACCAATGACGCGATCAAGGGTAAAGCAAGTGAAACAAGTGATGGGATTGCTCGTTCAAGAAACCATTGATGGAACCATGTTCGGGACTCAAAATGGAGCAACTTTCATGTTCGGGTCGAAGGCCGAATCAACTTGGATCAATTTGTTATCAAGTGACGAAATCGAAGGCTAAAAACAAAACACTGTGCGGTCGCACGGTGGCATACCAAAAATAAAAATTGCATTTCTTGTTGAAGCATGCGGCCGCACAAGCCAAAAAATTGGCGAATTTTCTAATTTTGGTCGAATTTCCTAGTTTCGATAGAATTCTTATGAAATCAAATTATTACCATAATTTGATGGATTTTGGACTTTTTACTCATTAGTATAAATAGGAGAATATTTTTCATTGTAAAGACTTTTGACTTTTGCTTAATATTATAGAGAGAGAATTGTTCTTTCAATTTCTTGTTCTTCTTGAACAATCTTGGAACTTATCAAGATTCAATTTCTTGTGGTGTTCTAAATAATCGGATTGTGGGTTCTTTTAATTGTAATCAAGGGATTTTAGGTTCTTCGCTAATCTAGGGTTTCTTGGTTCAATACTTGGGGTTCAAGGTCCAAAACCGGGTTAGTATTGGCGTTCTTGGGTTCCTCATCAATCTCGTTGTGGGTTTTGTAGTTTTCATTGCTACGGGGTTCGCATCAGTCTTCATCATCATCTCCTATAAATTCAACTGAGAAGATAATTTTTGAGTGGGCTGTCAAGCAGTTAGGGATGGATGTGGAAAGTCTGAAGAAAAGCTACACTATTCTTGAAATCAAACCATTCAATTCAAAGAATAGGCAAAGCAGAGTTTTGATCAGTAAAAATGGCGACAATACGATTCATGTACATGTGATAATTCCAATGTGTTCTCATTATTATGAGAGTACTGGAAATGTAAAAGTGATGTACTAAGATTCCAAAGCCTTATTTGAGCAAATTCTTGCAGGCATGGCAGAAAGTTGCCTCAGATGTATAGCTTTCGCACACAGGAAAACGTTAATAAGAGATTTCATCATCTTTCAACAGCAGCTGATTCTATTAAGCCTTGTTGGATTGACAAATTCACGTCGAAGTGGAACAAGGGAAACAATGGAAGATTGCCGTAGAGTTGGAATCAGCATCAAATTGATCACCGAAGATAACAAAGTAACTGCCACAATCATGGCCACTAAGTGCCGAATAATTGAGCCTGATTACCAGCCTGGTGAAATGATAGATGGTGAGGAATTCCGGAAGTTTAGCTTAGAAGAGCGAATGGCAAAAATTGAAAATATCTGCGTGCTGGCAAGAGCCACTCCTGATGACAAGTTACTTATGGTCCAATCTTTGAAGCAGAAAGGCCATGTGGTTGCATTCATTGGACGACGCATTGGAGATACACAAACCCTTAGAGAAGCAAATGTAGGACTTTGTTTTGGAACCCAAGAGGCAGAAATTATCAAAGCATGCTCGGCCATTGTCATGTCATGCAAAGTTTTTCCTTTAATCATTGATATTTTGACATGGGGTAGGGGACTATACGACAGTGTCCATATTTATACTCAGTTTTTGCTCATTGCAAGTTTTGCTGCTCTGGTAATTGACTTTGTGACGGCTGTTTCATCTAGCGAACACCCTGGTTTGAATGCTGTGGTAGCTATTTCAACAGGAAAATTTCCATTTCCGGTGTTTCAACTTTTGTGGATGAAACTGATTGCAGGTACTTTAGCAGTTCTTGCACTAAATATAGAGAAGTCGTCTCAAGATCTTATGCGGAGGCCACCAAGAAACTTGAAAGAGCCGCTAATCACAGCCCAAATGCATAAAAAAATTGGGCCTCAAGCTTTATATCAGATAGCCATCTTTCTGGTTATACATTTCAAAGGCAAATCATTATTTGATGTAAATGATAAGGAAAAGAATTCTTTGGTCCTTAGTACATAAATTCTCTTTCAAGCCTTCAACATATTCATTCCCAGGCTTTCGAAGAAGAACATTTTTGAGGAGATGCAAAAAAAAAAACTTCTCTTGAGCATCATTGGACTAATTATTTCCATTCAATTTATAATGGTGGAACTTCTGAATGAGTTTTTAGGGACAGGTAGGCTAGGATTTGGCCAGTGGTGCTTGAGTATAGCCTTTTCTGCTACACCACCTATGGTCAATTGGTTTGTTAGGTGCGTGCCTCCTCTGGGAAACTTTAAGCTGCCAATGTTGAAGCCTAAAATTGATTAGTCAAATGCTCTACCTTTCATTATTTTCTAGTCAAAATACAAAATCTGGAGATTGCTTCGAAATCTGTTTGTTGTTTTCTGTTTTCACATTTTGCTCTATCGAACTTTATGTGGTCAATGTTGAAGTGTAATATCGATTAGTTAAATTTCACTATCTTTTATTATTCTCTAGTCTTAGGTTTGTCGAGTAGCACAAACGTAAATTGCAAAATGTAAAATCAATAGAAAATCGAGAAGGAGAACAAGATATGTTCACCCCAATTAATTGGTGCCTGAAGTTCAATAATTTCTTTCTTTTCCAAGTGAAATCCCCTAGTATATGAAAGAGTGAAAAAGTGCTTTTGCTATTGTGGAATAAGAAGCCTTTGTATCTTAATGCTTACGTTTTCGGTGGAGGTCTACTTAGAGTGCATGACTCCGATGCACTATAACCCATGACTAACTCTAAATTGTAATAAATGAAGCATAAAAGAGAATCCTTTATATAGGATGGCAAATGGAGGGGCTGTTAGTTTCTTAGCCAATTTGGGATTCTAAACAATCCCTTTACAATTGAAAAATTAAAACCCATATTCTGATACACAAATACAATCACATTCTTGTTAAACAATATCAAGTCAAAATCTTAACAATCCCCTTCTTGACTTTGAAGTTTTCGATGTCTCCATATAGAGTTTCTTCCATATCGAATGACGCACTATGCTATAGTCGTTCCTCTTCAACCCTCTTGATCACACCACTTGAGAAAGCTTTTGGTTTACTGAGATTTAGCATATTGAACCATAAAAAATACAAGTACCACACGACGTAGACACATAGGACAACGTAGATTTTCTTTTATCCTATCATCCGCACTGTTATAATTTACATACCCTTTTAACTTTATCCACTCATTACTCTTTTAAGGATTAGCCCTAAAGTTGAAGTTCCATTACGATATCTTAGGAACCACCTAGCTACCGAATGTTAAAAGTCCAAGGGGTTTTCAAGTAAATACTAAGTACATTGGTTGCCTTGCAGGCCTTGTACATATTATAGTGTACATCACTGTACCTCTATCGTTAGAGTATGAGACCTTTTTCATGTGGTCTAATTCTTCTCAAGTTGAAGGACATCTTTACTAAGGTAAAATGACCTGCCAAAAGTATTGAAATCACATTAGTTTCAGTCATCTAATAGTTAGTTAACACTTTTTTGTTATAAGAATATTGTTTCAATACAAGAACGGTGTATTCTATTCCTTAGTATATCAATACCAACTATTTTTTATTTTTAGCATTAATTATGTCCTTTTCTCAATTTCATTATTTGAATTTTTCTTAATTCCATTTATTTCATACATATTACGACTTATAAATAATGTATTGTCATCATATGGTAACAAGTATTAAAAAAACAAAAAAAAACAAAAAAACAAAAAACATGTTCTTTCTACTTGTTTTGAAATATAAACAACGCCATAATTACTTCTTTTGAAGCCAATTAGTTGAACAAATGAGCCAATAAACCTTTTATACCATTTTTCAATATAATTTTTTTAAACAACATTGTTTTCTTTAGAAGACGAATAGGAATCTGATTCACTTTTCTTCACAAAACTTTCAAGTTGACACAAAATAGTTATTTTCTTCAAGCTCACAATCTAAAATGGCAGTTTTTACATCCAATTCTCAAGTTGCCGATCAACCTAAGCCACAAATGCTAGCATTATTCTATATATTAGTATATTTATCTATTGCTAGGAAAATTCATGATAGTAAACCCCTTATTTTTTTTTGTAAAATGTACTTGCATGCTTATAACCGAATTCCCACGAGTGAAACTTACTTGAAATCACAAAAATGATGTTAAATAACTTACCTTCCTTTTGCTTCCTTCCTATCCTGCTTTGTACTCACTTTCTGGTTAGAAATTCCATCACACGGGAAGGAGTTTGATAGCCACAATCCAAAGACCAAATTTAAGATGTTATACTTCCAAATCAAGTCATAGCCTATATGTGTTTCTCATCTTTTTCTTCACAAGCGAATTTTATATGTATATTTTATATGATATGGGTACAATGGAGGTTGTAAATGGAAGTTGTGGGTTGTGGGAGGTTGAGTTTCAAACTGAATTTCAAACTCCTCCCTCCCATTTACGTTCAATACCAGTCGAGTCAACCCACATAGGGGACCAATTTATTCCAACGATTTAATTTAAGAGTACACAACAATATATGCACGTTAGGGATATATATAGCATGTTCGGGATAGATAGCAGCTGTACAAGAGGAAATTAATTCTCGCTGTACCTCAAACGTATCTCATAACACCAGTTCGAGTATTTCTAGCCCCCTCAATTAATCAATGAAAATAATCAACTTTATCATTATATTATATTCACAATTGTGTTGCAAAAGTGAAATAGTAAATGCATTTGTCCAGTCGATGAATACAAGCCGGGGTGTCAGATAAAATAGGAGTTATCTATATATTTATTCATCTAGGCAATCTCAATCGGGAACTTGATCTAGCTATTAAATAGATTTAATGAATAGTAAAATGTTGATTAGTTTTTGAAATCTCATCTTGAAAGCTCATCAAAGCGAATGGAACATATTCACAATGTGACTACTGCATCTCATCTCAGCACACATCAAATTGTCTGAGGCGATTATTTGTGTAAGTAAATCAACTCAACCAAGTTGACTAGTTTGCGTGTGTATATTAAACAATAATCTAATAATTATAACAAAAGTTACTATTAACATATGAACTCACAAACATTGTTCATTAATGGACATATTAAAAGTTTACATAGTACATAATTCCAATTCTGTGCAATCCTAGAAATTTAACATGATTTACAAAGGTATCTCTAGAGATAGGTTTAATAAATGGATCAACATCCATTTGGTACATAGAAACATATTGCTAACTTACTTCTTTCTCCCTATGATATCTCTTACAAAAATTATATTTTGTATCAACGTGTTGGGTTTTGTTGTGATACTTGGGATCATTTGTATATGCAATAGCTGCCTGACTATTGCAATAAATCAATACAGGTCCCATGTCACCATTAAGGACTCCTAGATGCTAAAAGAATCTCCTTAGCTAAACAACTTACTATATTGCTAAAACATATGCTACAAATTTTACTTCCATCGTGGACAAGGAAATGCATGTGTGTTTCTTGATACTCCTAAAGATGGCGCCATTATTAAGCAAGAATACATATCCTGAAGTTAATTTGTGCTCATCTATGTCTCCACCCCAATCGGCATCTATGTATCCTTTTAAGAACAAATCATTCCCTTGGTAGCATAGGAATAACTAGCAGTATTCTTCAGGTATCATAATATCCTCTTATTAGCTTTCCAATGCTATTTTCAAAGATTAGATTGATACCTATTTACCATACCAATGGCATAACAAATGCTTGATGATACACATCATAACATACATCAAATTTTGAATAGTACTTGTGTGTGGTACTTTGGACATTCCTTATTTTTCCCCGAGAGTCTTAGGACACATGTGAAACTTAAGAGTTTCACCTTTCGATACATGAATGTCGATAGGATTGCAATTCTCCATTTTGAAAGATTTAATAACTTTCCTTATATATGACTCTTGTGATAGAGCAAGAAGCCACTTCGAAAGATCTGTATGGATTTTAACATCTAATATGTAATCTTCTTTTCCCATGTCCTTCATTTCAAAATTTGAGGGCAATCATTTCTTAATTGTTTTAATATACTCATTATCATTCATAGCCAATAAGATATCATCTACAAAGAGAGATAAAATTACAAATTTCTTATTGGACTTTTTCAAATAAATTCGTCAATCATGACAAAATTGTTCAAATAAAATTACAATAGATTGATCTTTTCAATTTACAAACTTTATTCTCTTGACGTATTTTAATGAAATCTACTGGTTGTTATGTGTAGATTTCTTCATATAATTCTCCATTGAGAAAAGCAATCTTCATGTCAAGCTGATGTAACTCTAAATCTAAACATGTCGCTATGGCTAAGATTAGGCAAATTAAGTAAATCTCACTACTGGTTGAAAGGCCTCCACATTATCTATACCGTCTTATTGAGGGTAACTCTTCGCTACCAAGAGAACCTTATACCTCTCTATGGTCCCATCAGCTCTTTGTTTTATCTTGGAAATTAATTTGTTCCCAATAGTTGTCCTATTATTCGAAAGATCAACCAAGTCCTAGACTTGCCCTTCAATCTCGAAATGACATTAAAGTATATTTTTTCTAGTACTCTTACAAATTGAAAAGTCCAATATGACCATGTCACTTGGACAAGGTCAGCAATGTTGGTTATAGTAACCCCATCTCTGAAGCTACTATCCTAATGTTAGTACCTCCCCCGTCAGAAGATAAAGCTAAAATGATGAGGTATTAGGTAAAACATCTATAGTTGACGCAGAGATGATAAGTATAGAAGAAAAATGTATAATAGATGATGGCATTGATTTGCAAGCTATAGAGTCAGAATTCCAAGCCTCTCCATTGGAGAAGTCGACAAGTTTATAGATCAAACATGTAACACCCAAAATCTAGATACACTAGATTTTGAATTATTATCGTTTAATTTTCGCTTAAAATCATAAATGTGGAAAACAATTAGATTTTTCTAATATAATAAAAAATAATGATTTTATTTATGCAAAATAAATAGTAGAGAACAATTTTACTTAA